TCCCATTGTAATAATATTGAGAAAAATAAAATATATGTCTGTTTTAAAATTGAGAAAGGACCTATAATGACTTTTAAAAGATCAAAAATAACTCAAATTGTAATTTTATTATATAATTTTTTAAACTAGAATAATTCAAAAGCGATCCAAAAAAGTTTATATGATTGAGTTTTTTCATTTATTTATAGTTGTATTTTTTTCGATTTAAAAAAAAAGATGAAATAAAAACTCTCTAAATCCAATTGGAAACCAATAAATCAAACTCTTTCTCGTCTTATGTTTTTTTTTCCGGTAGTAATTTTCGATGGCAAGAGAAAAAACAAAATCTTCAAATGGGCCGATTTTCGGTGAAGAATTGTTTCTAGTAAAGTAGTTAATCTAATTTATTGTCTATTTTTCTTAAATCTAAATTGTCTATGATGTTTGTGAAGTAAGGAGATTTAAAGGATGTCTCATATGAAGATTGGTCTAAATTCAAGGAGAAGCATGAATCGATGGTGAACAAAGAGTTGAAGCGTGAAACGACAACCATTGTGTGGAGGTAAGAGTTTGAATTTTTTTCACAAATGTGTTAATGTCGAATTTAAAATGAAGTGTTTTGCTTTGTCCTAATTGTTTTGTTTTTTTCAATTTCTGATTGATATGAACTGTAATCATTGGATTGTGAAGGCATTTCTACGAGAAAAGAGAAGTTAGAAGTTAGAAATTTTTTAATTTGAATTTGGCGTGGTTGGTTTGGTTAGATAGGGTTATCAATTCATAGAAGGTTTTACGAGAATTTTTTGAAGTTTTAGTAGACTTATAAGAGAATTTAAATATATATAAGTATAGTTTTAAGCATCATTAGTAGAGAGATATATGTGAATATTTTCCGAGAAATAAAAAAAAAGCTCATGTATGTGATATAATTTTAGAGTCGTTAGAGAAGTTCGAGACAAAATATATTAACATACATAATTGATAGAATAAAATTTATATTGGAATAAGTTGTAGCTTAGCATTGGCATGAGTGATTTAACTAACATAATGTGTTTATATGATTCTATTTGGAAAAAAGGAGGTACCCTTCTAGACTCTATTTGGAAGGAAACCTACCTTTAGAGAGGAGGAGCATGTACCATAACTACACTCTTCATAATTTTGGAATATTCAAAGATAATAATGGAGATGATATCTACAATGATATCCATGATAATTCGCAAGTTGGAATGATTTAGAAGATAGGAGATAAAATCCACATCGATAAAAATAACTACAAGTGTAGCATATACTTTGACATATTCTTTGATGTTTGAATGCTCATGAGTATCAAATGCATTTAATGGAAGAATAAAGTCAATTTCAGGTTTCAACGAGATTTTAACATAATAATCAACTTCTTTCTCATTAATCTCATACAACATGATATCTCCATCCATATAACCAACCTTAGGATCTTTGATATAACCCTATTTTCACTGATTTTATCTAAGTTTTAAGTATCAGATTTTGAGTCTTTATGTTGTTTCTCGAGTCTTTTTAGTGTCTTTTCACGTACTTTATGCAGTGAGACAACAATGAAGATAAAGAGACATTTTGGAGCAAAAGCTAAGGAAAAGGAAGCTAAGGACGATTTTCAGTTCCATATTAAGAGGAGTGTCGATCAACACACTCATGGTGTTGATCAACACCAGTTTCGGCTCAGCAAAGTTCATGACGCTTTCAAGTTTACAGAAAAGGAAATTTGCCCCAAAAGACTTTTCTATTTGCATTATTAGTCCCTAGACGTTTTATAGGGTTTATATACATTGTTTAGACCCTAGTTTTCTATTATCAAGCTTTTTGCAAAACCCTGTTGCTGAGAGACATAAGCTATTCATCCATTGTTTTCAAAGATCCATTCAGTTTTGAATACAGTGAAGAGATCCTTTCTTTCCCTCATCTTTATTGGTGTGTTTATGCTTTCATACTCAATTATGTTGTTTGGTTCAATCAATATGTCTGAGTAATCTGCTTGTTAGGAATAGGGTTTCTCATTAGGGATTCATATGGTTTAGTAGATTGTCCTCTTTGCTAGGTTATCTGTAGAATTCTTCATCTTTGATTATACTTAATGCTAGATCTAGAGTAATTAACTAGATCTTGAATCTAGACAATAGATATGTCCACCATAGGTATCTCTAGTTGGATCTATTATTTGATTAGCCTGGTTTATAGGTGTGTAATAAGAATCGGCCTATCTACTCAGGTGAACAATCGAACTCGTTAAGAATGCATATTTAGGTTAATAATCTCTCGGCTTCTCCGGTTATTCTTAGCTATAGATATAGGGAGTTTCGCGGAACACCACCGATTATTCCATAATTAGAGTTTGAGTTTAAGAATGGTTCGATAACAACCTACCTTTCATTAGATTTACTAACCAATAGTTTCGTGAGAATACCCTGTTCCTAGCTCTTTATTTAATCGTTTACAACCAATCAATCTGCTGTCTTCTTACTTTGTTTTCTTATTATTTCAATCATACCCTGCTAGTTTAATCTTGACATTGAACTCATAGTTTGAACAAAAGAACTTTGTGGAATTCGATCCTTAAATACTGCAATTGATCAATTTGAGAGAGTAGTTCTTAGGGTAATTTGAACCTTATCAATCTTCACTCTCATTCAAAATTTTATCAATATCAAGCATAACTCCTGAGTAAGATTCGTCAAGAAGAGATCTAGATTGAAAACTTAAACTCGAGATCATGAGCATTTAAAGCACAATAATATTCATTATGAAAGCATATTTCATGGTAATCCCGAGCAAGTTATTCTGCTATTAAAGTATCTAGTTGTTGAGACTCACATATCAAATCCTAACATTCATCAATGATCATGGAAGTATGCAAAGTAGAATTTACATCTTTAATGCATGGCATTTGAATATCATCAACATCATGAATTTCAAGGGTTGAAAAGCATGTACCTTATAGTTCGCTTGGTGGAACCCAATATATTACCTTTTCAAGTGCAGTGTGCTTCTTGTTCTTCCAAAAATGTAAGTTCTCTTCCTTCACATCCTGTCTGATGCGATACGAGGTTCAATCGGATAATCGCTAAATTACTTTTACCAATGTCGGATGTTTATTGTGAAGTTCATCCAACTTCACTTTTTGTTCCAGTGTAAGAACACTCTCGTCAAATGGATGCTCCAAATATGGATCAATCAACTTCTTCCATGTTAATAAACAAAAAGAAAAAGAAACACAAATGAAAGTTAGTAAAAAAAAAAATGCTCTAGACTAGATCGGTCCGTGCATCGATCCAGCGACCAGAGATAGACCGACCTATCGGTCCGGCTTCCTAACGAGCGGTTTTGGTTTCCTTAACCGGATTTATCTTCTATTTTCTGTAATTGGGTATAAAAACCGAGAGACCTAATTTTATTTCTACGTTTCTTTTACGATTCTTTTTTTGCAACATTTTCTAAGAACCTTTCTGTAAGCAATTTCGGGATTTGAGATTCATCCTCTTTTTGACACTTTGGAGAAGATTTCTAAATCTTTATCTTATTTATTCAATTGGCATTATGTTTTCTTTCATATCTCTTTGTGTTGTTCATTTTGCTATAAGTGAGTATTCTCTTAATTGGGTTTTAGGGTTCTAAGTAGGGGATTCAATGAATTGATGGTTTGATTGTTGTTTGGAGTTCTTGATCTTTAAGATCTTTCATTCACATGTTCTTAATGCTAGAATAGGATTGATCACCTTGTTTTAGATTCTAGGTTTTTCTATCAATCAAAAATGTTGGATAGAATGTCTGAACCAATGTGAATTGAGCAATGTATTTCTAGCCAACGAGAGTTGATGTTAGAATGCATTGTGAACCTAATGAACCTAATTCTAATGCGAATTTGACTAGGAAATTACAAATGAAAGTTTAGTAGTTAAGTAGTCAAATTTAGTGATTAATGTTTTGAGAGATAATTAGTCTAAACTTGTGTTCAAGTTCGAGAACAATTCTTTATGCTGGATTCCTTGTTTATTATTTCCATTAATCATTGATCTTCGAAATACCCTATGACCCAATGCTTTTTATCATATAAGTTTAATCGTTTATTTTCTTGCATTTTAATTTACAATTCGAAAACCAATCAAACATCCTTTCCGCTTTGGTCCTTGTGGATCGACCTTGTATATACTACCTTGCGGTTAAGTGTATTGAGTAATTACTCGATCAATCAAGTTGGCGCCGTTGTCGGGGACCAATTGCATTATCTAAGGATTTAGGATTAGTTTCTAGTCTAAAGTATTTTTATTTACTGTTATTGATTATCCTTTCCGTGTTTTTTTCTGGTGTTTGCAGGTGTATGACCCATAGCAAAGACTCATCACACCTTGTACATTATCACGAGGATATAGGAAGGTTAGAAAGAGAGAATAAGAAAAAGAAGCAGTTAGCGGTGTAGAGAGAAGCTGAAATGGCTGCCTGTGACGCTGCTGGAAATGTTGTGAATGAGGATGAACTCCAATTTGAAGAAAAACATCATGGAGTGTTTCAGGATCCACCACCTCCTGTAGCCAATGATCATCATGCTGCTGGTGAAAACGCTGCTAGTGCAGCTGCTGCTAATGATGCTCGTTTAGACGCGTTGAATGCTAGGCCAGCGCCTGTTCGACAAACTTTGAGAGATCACAATGCTCCAATATTGATTTTTCCGAGACGGGAACCAACAGCTCCCTATCAACGGAAACTATTTTGAGATCAAGACCGGGTTGTTGGCTCTTGTAAAGCAGAATCAGTTTTACGGTCTTCCCTCTAAGAATTCGGACTATCACTTGGATAATTGAAGATATTTGTAGGACAACGAGAATGAATGGAGTGCCAGATGATCTTATCAAATGCAAATTGTTTATATTCTCTTGACAGACAAAGCCCACCGCTGGTTGAAATCACTAGATACTGCAAATCCGAGAAATTGGGAAGATTACAAAGCTGCATTTTTGAGACAATATTTCACGCTGTCTCGGACAACTATTCTAAGGAATAAGATCGGTAGCTTCCAACAGGGAGGCACCAAATCATTCCATGAAGCTTGGGAGAGGTTTAAGGACTACTACAGGGAGTGTCCTCATCATGGGTTTCCACGGGCTACATTGATCAACATTTTTTATAGGGGAGTTGACAAGGCCTACAACATAGCATTAGACATTGCTAGCAATAGGGACTTCATGACTAAGACTGAAACTGAGGCTATAGAGCTAATTGAGAACCTTGCAGCTAGCAACAACAACCACAATGTTGACTATGACAGGTCGAATAGAGGTGGAGGAGGAGAATCAAAACAGATTGTTGAGTTGACTGCCAAGGTTGAGCAACTTTTGAGGACAGATAAAAAAGCTGTCAATTTTTGTGAGGATTCCAGCAAAGGTACGGTGCATCAAAAGTTCACGGAGAAGGTTCTGAAGATCTACATGCATAGATGAACTTTGTGAATGGGTATGGGAACTATCAGAACAGAGGGTTCAACCAGAAATACAGGAACCATCCCAACCTTTCTTAGAGGAGTACTAATGTTGAGAATCCTCAAGATCAGGTGTATCCAACTCAGGCAGGCTCACAAGGTCAGAAATTTCAGCCTAACTGTTTTCAGAATAAAGGGAACTATTAGGGACAATTTCAACCTCTTGCAGGTACCAGTCATGCGTCTTCATGTGGAGATAATAAGACGAAATTGATGATGCAGCAGATTCTTGAAGGTAAGAAAAAGAATGCTGCTGACATCAATGTAAAGGTGGATAACATGTACAATGATCTCAATGGGAAGTTCGCAACGCTATTCTCGCATGTCAAGATTCTTGAGAATCAGGTCTCTCAGATTGGTTATGCCTCTATGCGACCAGCTGGTGCTCATTCTAGAAAAGTAGAACCCAAGGGTAAAGAGCATTGCTATGCTATTATGATCCAGGAAAAGCCTAGAGAGATAGATGTCCCCAAACAGGTGGAAACTAATGTTGTTGTTGTTGAGACACTTGTGGAGGACAAGATTGTAGAGGATGATGAACCTTTGTCTGTGGAGCCGCCTCCTTATGTTCCCAAGCTACCATTTCCAAGTCGTGAGAGACAAATTCAAAAGCCAAAAGAGTATGCACGCTTTGACAAGATCATGAAACAATTGTATATCAGACTCCCTTTCTTACAGTTGGTTCTCCATGTTCCAAGCTACAGGAGTTACTTGAAAGACATCTTGTCTAATAGGAGGAGCATTGAGGAAGGGGTTAAATTGATTTCCAAAGGAGAAAAGTACGCTCACCTGGTGGAGTCTCAGAGACAACAGGAGGAAGCTCAGCTCACTAATGTAGTGGAGGTGTTAACAGGGAAAGAGATGGACAACACTTGAGGTGCCATCCTTCCAGCTACTATTCCCGAGAAACTCGATGATCCAGGGAGTTTTGTTTTACCTTGCCAGATTGGAAAGTCTGTGTTTGAGAGATGTCTTTTTGATTTAGGAGTTGGAGTTAATTTGATGCCTCTTTCTGTTTCAAAGCGCCTAGGCATCACAAATTTTAAGCTTTCAAGGATCTCTTTGATTCTAGCGGATCGCTCTGTGGGATTGGCAGAGAATGTGCATGTTAGAGTTGACAACTTTTACATTCCTAGTGATTTTGTCGTCTTGGAATTTGATAAGGAACCACATGACCCTCTCATTCTTGGTAGGTCATTCTTAAACACCGTAGGAGCTATAATTGATGTGAGAAGAAGTATGATCAACCTGCAGATTGGGGACAATGCTTTGGAGTTTGACTTGAGAGAGACAAGGAAAAATCCCACCATTGAAGGTCATGCATTTTCTATAGATACAATTTATGAGCCTAGTGCTGAATGTGTAAAGGATTGCATTGAGTTGAGCGATCTTGATGAAGTCCTGGATGGTGACACAAAAGCTCCTCATGTGACCTTGATACCACTGCAGCGTGTAGGAGACACAATCGAATATAAGTTGCAGTGTAAGGGAACCTTGAAACCTTTCTCCAAAGCTAGGACCATTCTCACTTCGGAGTGGAAAGAGAAAGGTAGAAAAGCTGTGAAAAGATTAGTTGGTAAGGTTCTAAGGATGAAGTTGACTGATTGGGGACCTTGTTTTGGAGCAAGTTCCCGCACTCGTACCCATTAATTCACAAAAATTCGGTCAAGCTAGTGACATTAAACAAGCGCTTAGTGGGAGGCAACCCACCATATATTCTCTATACATAAGTCAATTCTCTTCGTTTTACTTGTTTTCTTTCAAAAAAAAAAGAAAAAAAAAAAAGAAATTGGTCGATCTACTCGTGGATCGATCGATCCATGCATTTGATTGGTTTTGTGTCGCTCGCCTCAGTAGGAGTAGGAGGCAGCCAGGGGAGCAGGGCTCTAGCGAGAGCCCCACCCACTACCGTTGAGTACCGCTGTAACTCACACTCTTCCCCTTGTTCTTTATATTTATTTTGATTTTATTAAGTCTGTGTGGCACCTTTCCTTTGAACTGTTTTCACACCGAGTCGGTGTTAAGCAAGTCGGGGGAAGACTGCCACTTGTCTACTAATCGAGTTTGCTTTGGTTGTTTGTTTTGTTGCTTTCGTGTGAGACAGTTCGTTTTTATCGAGTCAAAAGCGTGTCTTTTGTTGAGTCAAAATGTTGTGAGAACTGTGATCTTTTCTTAGGAAATTGCACCATGCTTGATTTCATTGACTTGGGACCATTTTAGCACTATTCGATAACTTGGAATGTCAGGAAAATCCATCACTAGATCGCTTTATAATAGTCCCTATCTCTTTGAAATTTGGATGAATTGAGCTTTCTCTTATCTATTTGAACTTAATCTTGACTTAATTTATATCACTTAGGGGCTTGAGAATCATGTAATGGATCATACATTCAGAGTTTTCTTTGCATCATTTTTATCACTCTTTGCTACTCTGAATGCCTGGACTCATTTTTAGTCTAGTACCACACCATTTGCCCACCCATTGTTTGAAACTTCATGCACTTTTATATATTCATTATGATATGCATCTATGTGCGAAAACTACGGAATATACAGACCGACATAGCTTTCCTTCTGCTAGGATAGTGAGTTGTAGTTTATTGGTTGTTCATATGTGATGAGATTTGACCATTATGGTTTAGAGGTTGTCAACTTGTATTCATGGGTATGAGATGTTACACTGTTTGAGTTTCTCCTGATGCAAATTTTGTTAGACACCGGTTCCACTTCCTAGTTCCTAAAAAAAAAAAGGAAGATTAACAAAAAGAAAGAAATGGGAAAGGAGAATGAAGGAACCGGAAATGTCGAGTTGTTATTATTCATATAAATAAGCATCATAGGAACTCATTGATTTGATTGGGATAATATGTGTTGGTTGGTTTGATCTGAACTTAAGGGAAGCTACGTACCACCTAATCGGTTTGTGTCTCACTGTGATTTCGCATAATGACATGCATCCACTTTACATTGTTTGAGAACCTGAAACACTTGAGCCACCAAATAATAGCCTTCTTACCTAGCCCAAAACGTGTTTGATACCCCGTTTGTGAGAGTACACGCTTCTGTTAATGAATGTTAAAAGGTTAAGTTCGTTGACTCTGAAAGTTCGTTTAGATCTCGGGATTTAATTTTGTCGCTACACTTATGGCAAAGTACAATCTAGTACGGGTTGATGAATTTTGTGATGGTGGTTTGCAGACAATTGATAAGAGCATGATCCCGAAAAAAATGTGAGTTCTCATGTTTTCAAACCTCTTCTCCTGATACAGGTTTTTGATTTCCTTGAGGACAAGCAAAGACCTAAGTCTGGAGAAGTTGATATGTTGTGTTTTTGATGTCTTTAGTCCATTCGTTTTGAGTTATTTGTCGTGTCATAGTCCGTCTTTTGTGTGTTTTCGGTTGTGTCTTGAGTCTTTTGCAGGTTTTAGGAACTTTTGAGGTGAAAAGATGGTTTTGAGCTTGTTCGGGTCGAGAAAGGACGAGAGAAGTTGAATCGAGGACAAAGGAGGACCAGACCGATCGGTCTAGTCCATACACTGATCCGGGCGACAGAGACGGACCGACCGATCGGTACATGATTAGACCGATCAGTCCGCACTGATCAGGCGACAAAGACGGACTGATCGGTCCAACGTCAGACATATAGGTCTGTGCATCAATCCAGCGACCAGAGACAGACCGACCAATCGGTCCAACATCAGACCGATCAGTCCAGCTTCCTGACGAGTAGTTTCGGTTTCCTTAACCAGATTTATCTTTTATTTTCTGTAATTGGGTATAAAAACCCAAAGTCCTAATTTTATTTCTACGTTTTCTTTTACCATTCTTTTTTGTGCAACATTTTCTAAGAACCTTTCCGTAAGCGATTTCGGGATTAGAGATTCATCCTCTTTGACTCTTTGGAGAAGATTTCTAAACTTTTATCTTGTTTATTCAATTTGCATTATGCTTTCTTTCATATCTCTTTGTGTTGTTCATTTTGCTATGAGTGAGTAGTTTCTTAATTGGTTTTAGGGTTCTAAGTAGGAGATTCAATGAATTGATGGTTTGATTGTTGTTTGGAGTTTTTTATCTTTAAGTTCTTTAATTCACATATTCTTAATGTTAGAATATGCTTGATCATTGTGGATCAACCCCGTATATACTACCTTGCGGTTAAGTGTATCGGATAATTACTCGACCAATCAAAAATCTATAACTCTTCAATCAACATATCCACCCGCTGTATACCGTAGGTCAAAGTTTTTATGATTTACGGTTGAATTTAGGTGAATTAATTGGTGATTTCGAGCATGTGTAAAATTGCCCTTAATTAATTGTTCTTTTTTTTCTAGGTGAGTTCTATTTGCCTTATTAGTTATTATACATTTTGTATAATATTGTAGGAGTATGATAAAAAAAAAGAATTCTTTGTTTATTCTGAAAATTGATTTGTTTGCTTTCTTAATTAAGTTGGTTATGATTATGATAATAAGATATGTTATTCTGTTAAACCCGATGTACACTTATATAACATGTAGGAATAAAAGAAAATAAAAACTTGAATTATTTGAATATGTGAATTCTGAAAATTGATTATTTGTTTTAATGTGATTATTCTGAATATGATTATAATGAAT